AGCAGAACCATGGTCCGGGGTTGGTCTCGATCCCGGCTCGGACCAAGAGAATACGGAGCAAACATTCCGGGTAATGTTGCTCCCACATCAGAAAAATGGACGAACACGAACATGTATTTGCTGGGTTGGCGGCCCCTGGTCGGAGAAATGTGCCTCCGAGTCAATCCGGTACATAGAACCGGCCGCCGTGGGATTGTATAGTAAATATGTCGGATGTATATGGCGAAATATATACAATGTGTATATACAAAGGAAGGGGATGTTAGCTAGAATGCTTATATCTCAAGAATGGCTGGACCGATTTTGACAAATGTTGTAAATTCAGAATGCCCTTTTGGCATAAAAGTGTAAAAAAATCGCAAAATCGCCTATGATGATGTTAATATAGATTTTGTAGTATTTTGTGACATTTTTTTATTTTTTCATATTTTTTGTCGCATGCGATATTGTCAATTTGACTTATAATATTGAAGTGTATATTTTGTAATATTTTTTCACCTTACAATACAGGTTTGGGATATTATATCAATGTTCCCAAGCGTTAATGTAACTACCTGTATTTTTCTACTATGAATGGTGCTATGCGCTACTTACGACGTTCATGTGCGCTTTCGTTTTGGGGTGACTTGCTCCGTCTATTAGAAAATTCACAATTAGGCGCCGTTACAATCACTTCGTCTCTGTACTGTTGGTAAATAATAAATATAAACATACAAGCGTCGTTGCTCCATTTTACATAGAAATCAAAACCATTCTAAACTCCAAAGAAAATTACGTTTAAATTCCGAAATTTCAACAAAATGGATTCACCAAAATTGAAAAATATTTCCATAAGAATAAAACGCACCACCCAACGCAACAACGAGTCTCTGGACGAAGTGCGTGAACAAGTTTCCATGAAGCGTTGCACGGTGCGTCTCCAACGTTACAACGATGAGGAGCTACGTCAAATGGGTATGTAATTGAGAAATTATTTCCTAACGTCAATAATCAATTCTTTTCTAAATCGAATTTACTTGCAGCTATCATAAGCAGACCCACACCATGCAAGGAGGAAGCTAATAAACCCAAAAATATAAGAAATATGGTGGTACGTGTTAGGCGCTTAATAAATTTAGACGGTGTATTGGTCCAATAGGAGAAATTGGCCATGGTTATTCCCATGATTTCCTTCCTGGCCTGGGCCAATTCAATGCAAATGAATGCATGTACATAATTGTGTATGTGTGGTGTAGCAATTAAAAAATACTGATTATTATAACCATTATTTTTTCACAAATATTATTGAAATAATTTTTTTATAATAATTGATGAAATGTTCAAAGCTAATCCTAGCCCAACTGAAAAAAAAATAAATATACATATATTGAATGATTATTTGTAGCAAAACAATGTTTTATTGATGTTACATCTGCGTGACCGATTCTGTGTGTATGTGTATTTTCTATTACATACAAAAGCAACGGTAATATTTGTAAGGGTGTGTGTTCTGGATTTAACCCTTAATTTGCATCTCGGTCTAATGTTGGTGGAAAAATATTTTATTGTGCACTTTCTGCTTGGAAATAGCATATTTCGTAGTTTAAATGGCTATGATGTCCAATAAGGACAATTCCTAATGTATCCGGCATGGTAGAACTAAGAAGGTAAAGTCATCTTATCATATGTTTACAATTTTTTCAAATTTATAGATTCAACAACATCTCATTGTCAAAATCTATATTGATAAATCCACTGTATACACACAAAATCAGAGATGGGAAGTGTTTTTATGCATTGAAATTTGACAAGGTAAATTACAGAAAATGCAGAAATGGGAATGCTAATTTGAAATGATGTTACTTTTATTTCTTTGTACCATGTGTATCTGGTATGACTTGGATCATTGTAAAACTAAGAAGGTAAAGTCATGTATCATATGAATTCATGCACTTGACAACATCTTATTCACAAAATCTATATTCAAAAATCCATTGTATACACACAAAATCAGAGATGGGAACTGTTTTTTATGCATTAAAATTTGACAAGGTAATTTACAGAAAATCCACAGCAGAGAATGCTAATTTGAAATGAATTTACCTTTATTTCATTGTACCCATGGTTCAATAAGAAAGGGAAACCGCGAAAAAAGAATGGAATTTTGGCATTATTCACAAAGTTGAATCTAAAATAGTAGGATAATAAAATAGAAAGTATGCATTTATTTTGCAACCGAATTTGAAATAATTTCAAATTATTGTACTTTTTATTCAAAAAAATACACACATTATTCAAAATTCGGTTGCAAAATAAACCCATATTTTCGACGTTAATGTCAACGCATTGTACAATTTTGGGATAAAACAATATTGTTCCTCTATCTTGAAATAAATATTGTGGAGAAAACCCAATAATCGATCCATGTTTTGTGGGTTTTGCTCAATATAAAAATGTTGTTAAAAAAACGAAAAGACTATAGGTACAGAGTTGCATTTTTCTAGTTTCTTTGAAGTTGAGCAACCATTCTTATTGAGCCATGATTGTACCATGAGACGTACATATGTGGTACAATGATATCAAGGTAGGGCTATGATACCATATGATTTTAATTTTTTTTTTATTTTCTTGGCCTAATATGTCATCCTTATTTGTTTATGTATGTGTTTTCTTTTCAATAACAAAAAAATTGTTCAGAAAAAATTCAAATTCGGGTGTTTTCAAAATGTTCATTTCAACGCATGCATCGACAAAATCTAGAGTTTTTGTAGCGAAATAATCCTTTAGAGATACATAGTACATGATTTTGAAAAGAAGTGTTGACCTTTCATTCAGTTATCGCGGTTTTCAATTATTTATTCAAAATAAATGCAACAAGTTGTTTGATTTTTTATTGTTTTGATATTTTCATTTCATTCATTTTTAGCCTATGGCCATTTTATTAATTCAAGTCTTAATACTAACATAGGTTAAATGGCTTAAACCTAACTATACTATAAATAAACATGCATTTGTACAACGCCTACTTTACGTTAACAAAAAGTGTCACAACAAGTTTGTGATATTGTTTTGATACTAATTCTGACATTACAAGCCAAACAGGGAGACCTCTATACTTGCAATTTTTTCAAAGTTTTTTCTTCATTGCACCATGCGTACATACAAAATATAAAATTGAATACCATTTTTTGCAGAACTTATTGTTGTTTTTTTTTTCACCTGCTGTCCTCTTTAATTTTCTTTTCTATCAAATATATGTCATAAATATATTGCTCTATTCCAGTATCGGCAAGAATCTACTAGTTTTGTAATTGTTTCTAAGTGTGCCCATGGTACAATGAATTCAAGGTAGGGCAGAACTACCATATGATTTTAATTTTTTTATTTTTCTGGCTTAATATGTTAACTTCATTTGTTTATGTGTGTGTATTTTTTGAATAATAAAAAATTGTTCAGAAAATGTTCAAATTTGGGTCTTTTCAAAATGCTTATTGCAACGTATGCATCGACAAAATCTACAGTTTTTGTCGCGAAATAAACCATAAGAGATATATAGAACATGATTTTGAAAAGAAATTTTGACCTTTCATTCATTTTTCGCGGTTTGTAATTATTTATTCAAAATCAATGCAACAAGTTGTTTGCTTTTTTATTGATTTGATAGTAATTCTGACATTACAAGCCAAACAGACAGACCTCAATACATATATATATATATATATATATATATATATATATATATATATATATATATATATATATATATATATATATATATATATATATATATATATATATTGTCATATTAATGTTTCCAAGCGATATATATATATATATATATATATATATATATATATATATATATATATATATTTACATGTTTTATTGTACAACACGGTTAAGTTATGCATTTTTCTACAATTTTTACTAATTTCAATATTTTTTATTTAATATTTGTCGATGGGCCTAACTGAATTCTTCTACCATGATCTATAGTAATGCTCATGGCCCAATTAATCTAAAACCGGTTGTTATTTTATCAGATGAAATGCCAAAATTCATGCTAGAGAAATGTCAAAATTCATGCTTGACAGAAGAATTTTGTGGCGAATAGTTTTGTTGTCAATTTTTTATAACCGCTTGGGAACATTGTTAAAAATTTTGAAATGTTTTTTTTTTTAAATATAACTATATTTGTATAAGTTTTCTTATACGATACCAATGAAATGTTATAATATGAATTTATCTACAATTTTTATAAATTTGAATAATTTTTCATTCAAAATTTTCAATTTCAAAATTGGTTTGATAGTTCATTGTCCGTGCAGCTGTGTCGATGCGACTACCTTTCATCTTCTACCATGCGCTGCTGCGAGAATCTATCAAAAACATCAGAGACAGCGATATGCAGTAATCTATATTTTTCCGGATTTTATCACATGCACCATGTTGAAGGAGTTCGAACAGATCTAATTTTTTAATTTCGTTTGTTTTGACGTTTGTTTGGTTGGAGCGAATTCAAATTTAATTGACAGATCGTTTAGTAATCAGCTGAGCTGGAAGGGGGGCCTGATCCTTGGATCATGGTAGTCTCATATATAATATAACGTTTCGTGACATGGTAGAATAATACAAACATAACAAAAACCATGGTAGAATTACAAGGTAACCCTTTCAGGCCAGCTGGTATCAATTTGATATGTCAAAAAATTGTTGTAATTTGAATTCGCCTTCATTTACACATAAGAAAATTGTTGCTTTGTTGTAATTTTCGCCTATGTTGCTACCTGGTATTTCTACCATGACAAAAACCAGACACAAATTTGTTTTTGTATGTAAATCAAGTCTCAGAGACAGCAATTAATTAATATTAAATAATAATGGCGATTTTACTTATTATCTTTTATAGAACCATACCACATCGATACCACAATGCCGTCTTGCCGCTTTGTTTGAAATGTCCATAGCCGATGTAGCTACTTAGTTGCCGTCAAAATTGCATAATTGTGATTGAACACCAAAAAAAGTTAATTCACAATAGAATTGGATAGTGTTAACATTAATAAGTAAAAAAAAAAAAACAAATTAATTGTTCGAGAAAAAAGTAAAATCATGAATTGGTATAGTGGTAATATTGCTGAGGCTGTGGCAAAATCCAAGTCCGAAAATGCAATATTTGTCGTTTATGTTGAAGGTGGGTGCAATGGAAAATTCCATAAAGTGGAACACGTCATTTATGCAAATCCCTTTACAATTTTCTCATTTCTAACAACCTTTAGGCAAAGATGAGAACTCGGTTAAATTGTCAAAATTTATTGATGATCCTAAAATCAAGGACAAATTACAATCTAAGGATTTTGTGGCAATCAAAATTGAATCCCAAAGTGAAACCTACATGCAATTCGCAGCCATTTACCAGATCGTGCCAGTGCCTTCGTTGTTTTTCATTGGTAAAACGGGAACACCCCTTGATGTTACTACTGGAGTAGTAGCAAGTGTGGAGGAGTTGGAGTCAAAAATAGTAAAAGTTTTAGAACTTGCAGGCAAGTCACCGAAGACATCCACTGCGGCTGCTATGAGTCAAGCGTTTATAAATCAAGAAGCAACGGCCAGCACAAGTACTCAGTCCACTGCTAAAGTAAGTCCGGATGTGGAACAAAAGACAGAGGAGAAGACACAAGAAGAAAAAGAAGTGGACACAAAAACGACTGAAAGCTCGGAAATTGTGTGTGAAGGAGGCGTTTGCTATAAAAAACCCAAAGAAACTACAACAACTGACACTGTGGTAGCTGAAGATGACAAGAAGTCAGAAGATGAATCGACTAAAAAATCTGAAAAGGAAAAAGAAGAAAAATTGGCTGAAGCAAGAAAAATATTGGAACAGAAGAGGAGGGAACGCATTGAGGAGGAGAAACGTTTGGAAAAGGAACGTGAATTGGAACGTCGCAAACAGGGAAAAGATATGCAGAATTTACGGGCTTGGCAACGGGATCAAGAGCTAAAAGAACTGAAAGATAGCATAAAACGTGATCGCCTCGAAGAGCAGGCTGCCCGTGAGAGAATTCTTGCCCAAATTGCTGCCGATAAAGCCGAGAGAGCACATAAGTTTGCCAATGACAGCAGTAATCAAGCTTCAACTTCACAAGCCGCTGCTGCTGCTCCGAATTCAACCGTACAGCAAAACAATGTCGCACCACCACCTGTAGCTTCAGATGAAACTCGTATACAATTCCGTTTTGCCAGTGGTGATGCGAGGACCAAAAACTTCAAGTGTTCGACAACTTTGTCGGAGATTCATGATTTCGTTAAAACTGAACTTCTGCCAGGCACTGGCATTAAAGACTTTACCCTGGCAACAACATATCCCAAGCGGGAATTCACAGCAGAACACTATTCCAAGACTATGATCGATCTCGAACTGATACCAAGTGCAGTTATTTTAATAATCGGCAAAGAAGCCACTGGTCCCAGTGCCATGATAGCTAAACAAGGCGGTTTATTTAATATATTCTACATGATTGTTATGTCAATACTGAATCCTGTATTTTCATTGTTCACCACTGCTAAGAATTGGATCACTGGCAACAGAAATGGTAACAATAATGCACAAGCCACCGGAGCACAGAAGAGAGCCAATGAGGAACGTGGTGTTCAAGATGATATGTAAGTAAACCATTTTGGGCTTAACTTGTTCAAGTTATTCAATTTGCCTTGAAAAGTAGACTTTTAAAAATATCAGAAAAAAGAAGTATTTTTCAGAAAGGAACACATTGTCATTCTTCTTTTTAACCAAGAACCATAATTGATTTTAAATGCAAAATTTAACAATTTATAGCCATGTTGGTTATAAACACTTTCAGATAAGACGAACATGAATAGCAACGCCTGCAATTAAGTGGTATGTGTTTGCCCACTTTTGCTAAATACTACTGCAACGAAGTCCTTTGACCATCTTTGGGGTTAATATTTATTTGCGACTATTTCATAAATCAATGATATGATCTAAAATAGTATTTTATAATGCCTCAACAACTTATTCTTCTTTATTTTGCAGTGCAAAACGTCGTAACCTTGATCGATTTGTGGGAGGTGGCAATGCTGTTTCTGATAGCGGCAATAGCAGAAATGGCAGCGGCGGAACTTCTGACTCATCGCCAACACCTTCTTCTCAAGCCTATCGCCGTTATGTCACCGGTTCGAATGTGCACCGCCTTGCAGATAATCGCAAGGATTCCGATGATGAAAATGCCACATGGAATGGTAACTCAACACAACAACAATAATTCCACTTTGAAAATGTTTTTTCGATTTATTTCTAAAATTATTAATTCCTTTTAAGAATCTTTTTATATAAAATATCGAAACCCATATTTATCTTGTAAGTAATTGGAAACACACCTCTATATGTACTGTATTGTGAAATTGGTATTTGTTTTGTTTCTGAAAAAATTGATAAACGAAAAAAAATATGTGTTTGGGTATGAACATTGAAAATAAAAGCTTTTGTAACTAGTTACAAATCTATTTAACAATACAATAAAATATTCTATTTGGTATGTAAGTACAAAGGTTTGCTAGAAAAATGATTCAAGAAGGAAAGGGTTTAAAAATATTAAGGATTCTTTAGAAAAGTAAAGTGTCGCTTTGAGAATTTTTTTTTCAATTGCTCAGAATAAGCCTCACCGCGTTTGCTTATAAACGGATTGCAGCACCGGCCAAACGACAGTACTTAAATTTTTAAGAAAGAAAATTAGAACTTTGTCATCAAACTTCAAAGTTGAAATACATATTAAACGGCCCTTAAAGCTATGGGAATATATATGGAACTTATAAAATTTTATAGACCCATATCTACAGAATTTGTACTGTACACATAAATTATTTGAATAATTATAACTCTTATAAAATGTGATATAAGTGTCCGATGGTCTTCAAATTACACACATCACAATATTTTTATGGTATATATCGGTCCACTTCTTCCTCCTCCACAAAGGGTCAAAATTTTGAATATCCATGAAACTCATAAATCTAGAAATTAACATCCGATTCCATTTAGACTTAGTACAGCTCGATAAACACAAAGGGTCAAAATTTCGAATAATAAAAACGATAAGCATCCGGTTCTCTTTATATTTCGCACATCTCATTATTTTTACCAACACAAGATTTGCTGTGAAGATGGGATATATCGGTCCACTCCTTCTGGAACCTCCCCCACAAAGGGTCAAAACTTTGACTAACCAAAACTATTGTAAATGCCAAAATAAGCATCTGGTTGTCTTCATATTTCACAAATCCCATTATTTCTACTAACACAAGATCATCTATGAAGATAGAATATATCGGTCAATTCCTTCTGGTGCCTCACCTAAAAAGGGTTCAAATTTTGAACATCCATGAAGCTAATAAATCGCGAAATTAATATCCGGAATCGTATTCAGACTTGGTATACCTCAATATTTCCACTAACACAAGATCTGTTATAAAGATGGTAGAGATCGAAACATTTCTTCTGGTATATCCCCCCACAAAGGGTTCAAAATTTTGAATAACCAAAGGCTCAAAGAAGGCGAAATAAGCATACAATACAATTGTGAATATTATAAATATCTGCCAACACCTTCTGGTACTTCAACTACAAAGGGTCACAATGTCCAATATCGGTCATAGTTGCGAAACAAGTGGGCGATTCTATGCAACGTGTTATATCTAAAAATTTCTTTTAACCTGAAATCTGATATGAATATGTAGTTAATCGAAATTTATGATTTCGTATAAAATTGGATATAAATGTTTGATTTCCTTTAAATTTTGATAGTACCAATATTTTTATCTGTATTAGATGAAGTGGAAGTGAAGAGATGTACTTGGGTTGAATGCGACAATCCTAACTTCTTGTCTTTCATACTATTTGTTTGAAAAGCCGCTATAAAATAATAATAGGAATTTTATTATGCAAAATTGGATCAACAATAAAAATAACCTTCCGGGGTCTTAATACACTTCTTTCAATTTTCATTCGCAGAAGTTTTAATTCAATATCAGTATTTTTGTCACTGTAATATCTCCTTTTTACGTATTTCTCAAAAAATACATATTTGGTTAAAAAATGTTTATGAAAAATAAAAGCGCTTTTATTGCTTTTATTCACAAAAGGCCTATTTCAGATTCGAAAAATTTTGTTCAGTGTTATATATACGTATATTATTTGTCATATATTTGAAATGTGTTTGAAAATTTATTCAATTGTACAAAATGTTTTAAGAAAAATGATAAGAAGTGAAGATAAAATCAATTACCTTTTGAAATGGAGGACTAAACTAAGTGAGAATCGACTTTAAGGAAAATGCATTAAATTAATCGGTGCGTAAGTATATTTATGTAAAAAAAAAAACATAACATCAACATCGTGTTGTCCCAAACATTTATAATTTTCGTACAATTGCTTTGAACTTATTCCACGTGTTAGTAATTTCAGTGAAAAACAGTGCCATTTTCAAAACAGTCATTGTTATATTTAGTAAATATTTTAATATTTTACTAAAAATGAAAAGACGTGACATAGATTTTTGTCAGGGTGTTTCTAGCAATTAAACATGCCGCTATATCCACAAATGTTTTGTATTAGTGGATTGGTTGGTTGGAACTAGTTTTAGTTGGGAAATGGTAAGTTGGCTTCACCATCCTGGAAGAAGTTATGCACAACTATGAAAATTTGTGTGAGTAGTGGACGTTCTTCTTCTGCAACGAATGGAGAATCGACTTTTGGACGGCATTCAGGCATGTAGTAGGATTCTCAAACATTTTTTAAATGAAAATAAAATACAAATACAAAATACAAAATTGCAGAATTAAATTAATGTAACAACGGCCCAAATAATGTTTCTGCCTTACACAAAACAAATTGTCTGGAAACAGAGTTGCATTTTTCTAGTCAATACATACTGAGCCAATTGTCCCCTTTCCTGTCTAGTAAATGCTAACTTCAAACAAACATTGAGAACTGCAATTAAAATTTGATAAATAACAATCATTTGTGATCCTTGTTGACAAAAAGCAACAATATGACATATGAGCGAAAATGACAACAACTTATGTCTAACAGACCTACTTAATACCCAACGTACTGTACAAAAATATCCATCTTCCCCATTAATATCAAATGTTTTTATGGCCGTATTACCTAAACTTGAAAGGTGTATATCTTCAAGACAGCCAAATAATATCAAATTTAATTTTTTTCAAATTTATTTTTCTACGATTGAACATATTTACATTTTTCTATTCGTTTTTATTTTCAACAAGCAAAGCAACAAAAATAAATTATGTCCATGAGAAGGTAAAGTGGGGCTAACAGTTCATTACAAATTTTTTGTAAGTGTGCCCGACTTCTGTCTGTGTGTATGAATTTATTATTTTATTGCGCAATTTTTTTCCATTATCTAAATGTTTAACGATATCATAATATTGGCGTATTTGGGTAATACGAAAGTACAAAGTAAAAGTGGGGGGGCTAATTTACACCATAAAAGCAACAACAGGGCGAAAATAATAGCAACATTTGGCATTTGCTATATAGTTTTGCGACGCGTGGCATAAAACTAAAATCAACTTTTGGGTATTTTTTTTAAATTAAATTTCATATTTACAAGGTAATAAAAACAGTTAAATCATGTATTTCACAAATAAAAAATTGTGAAAAAATTGCAAATTAACAGAAAACTTTTTGAATTCGGTATTAGTATTTTGGTAGTATCAAGACATAGCTTCAGAGCTAATATATATGTTAAAAGTCGAAAATAGAAAATTATTTGGCCGATATTACATTATTTTGTTTTGATGAGGGAAATTTCGATTGACTTCAAGTTCGAGAATCATTGCTGTTTTTCGTCAACGCATATCATAAAAGTTGATTCTCTCTTGATCTTTGTTAATTCAGAGTTGCATAAACCAAAAATAACCTCTGCCGGTTTATTATTTCCAGTTGTGGTTAATATTTTTATTTTTAACTCACGGCATATCATTTCTTTTAATACGACACTTGATTCACTAATTCCGCTATAAATAGCAACGCCGTCAAAAGGTAAAGTAAGCACTACAGAGCTGCTACGTTACGCCGCTACTCACATCTAGCAAGGCGGCAGTGAATCAGTGATTGTTTCGGCGTGAAGTCGTTAAGTCGGTAGATATAACGCTAGTGTGGAGGTATCGCATTAACCGACCACTAACTTTACACACAAAAAGCAAAGAAAGAGAGAACCAGCAGCAGCAACTTCAATAGCTAAGCAAGTGTTCTAAATGCAAACAAAAAAGTCTATGTTTAATGTAAATAACTAAACAATAAACGGAAATAGGAAATGCATAGATGATATTAACGACAAGCAAATGCAGAATATTACCAATTAACCAAACAAACGCACCCAAAAGTCGAAGAAAAAATACACAATTTAAGAAATCTTATATAGATATGTATATTATTACATACATACATATAATATAACGTCTGTACAAATGTGTTTAGTGTGTATGTACGCTTGTGTCTTTGTTTGAAACAAAACTAAATAGTCGTTTGTAAATTTAAGTGTATTTCTCTGTGGTGCATATTCTTCTCCTCTTGTTATAAGTGTACGCAAATTTTGTAGACAAAATAGAAGGAAAATAAGTTTTCTTCCCTCTCCCAAATTAACAAAAAAAAGAAGAAACGAAAAATTAAACCCGTAGCTCGTTCTATCTACCCCCAACGTGTTCTTCTTGTTCTATTTAAATAAGTCTGTAATATGACAAATTGAAGTGAAAATAAAATCCGAAAAATATACTGTTATTTTTCATTTACAGTAGTAAACGGCAAAACAGCAAGAAACGTGTGTGCCAACAAAAAGAATGGAAATATGAAACAAATTACAACAATTTAAAATAAAATTGATAAAGCAGCTGCAGAGTGTTGTAACAAATAAATAAATAAAACATAAAGAATAAAATAATATTCAATTGGCGTCCCGTCTGCATTTGACGTTTATTTAACACAGCTCCAGCTAACATCTCAGTGCTCTCTTTCCAGCTCCGTGCAACTCGCATGCTCTCTCTCTCCCTCTGTCATTTCCCTTCACGTTTGTCGGTTTCTGTGTGAAAATAATAACAAACATACATTGTACACAACAAATGTAATTGTGTGACCGTTTTGCGAGAGAAAGAGAGCGCACAATAACAGATTCCCCTTTTATTTTACTCAGCTGCCAACAGATTGATTGTTGTTTGTTTGTGCCGTTTATCGGAGATTGCCTTTGTTCTTCGTAGTCGTCGTCATTGCATAGTGCGCGGCTTAATTGGTTGTGTATATGTGCTGCTGATTTCCACAACCGGCGTTTTAACATTAGAAATTTTATTAAACATCAGCAACAACAACAAGAAAATTGCAAATAAAACATCAATAACAAACAGCAGATAAAAAATGTATAGAAATAGTAATAAAAGAGAAATTTTGTAATTATAACTAAATGAAAAGTGAAATACCTACCTACATAATAAATTAAAAAAATTTGATGCTAATGTTAAAAATGTGTTAAATATTGAATTGCAAATTAGCAAGAAAGAATAACAACAAAAAATCCCACAGCACAAAGAAAAGTAAGTCTGTATTTAGGTTAAGACCTAATATTAGTTTGATTCGATTTAAGATATTTTTAAATTTTGTTTATAAAATTTTTATGATGGTTTCGATGATGACTGACTTTGTTTCTTCTCTTCCGTATCCGTCGCCGCTACTGGTGAATTCTACCCTTTTTTCCAGGCCGGCCATTGGCGATGTTGAATAGTCTCCTTTGTTGTTTGTGTTCTGTCTCTTTCTCTCGGATGCGAGAGCAAACATTTGTCATTTTGTGTCGTTTTTTTCGGTACAACACGACTGGCTGGAGATGTTGCATGTGTTGGTGTGCATTAGCAACATTTTGATAGCCAGTATCCAATATTTGGTGTTTTTTTTTTTTGAAATTGAAGAGTTTACAAAAGAAGTTGTAAGCAAAAAATCATTTTGTAGAAGATCTTCCTTGGGTATGGATTAGTTTGTCAAATGAGATGCGTGATGAGTTAAAGACACACCTTAACCTGTCTCATGTTCTCTTCTTGTTTTTGCTTTTTTGTTTTTTTTTTTTTTTTGGTATTGAGGGTGCTATCCTTGTTCGAGGTTATGTTGAGGGTGGTTAATAGGGTCAACTTCAAAACTTGTTATTTTTATTATTGTTTTTATTCTTTAAGGAAATATATATTTTTGGAAAGTCCGAGAGGACATTAATTTTCTAGGTTATTAAATTTGACTTTCCGTTTGCAAACCTTGAAAATGTTAGTCCTAAACCCCATAAAGCGTATATATTTGTGATCAGCGAAATATTCAATGCTAATTTAGCTGTGTTCGTCCGTTTGTTGAAATCACAAAATTTTGCTCAGGCATTGATGTTATTGCTAGGATGTTTGTTAATGAAAATAGAATATATTTGTCGGTTTAACATCAATGCAACGTTACCTCCATATTTACGGTTTCTCGAAGGTTCCTCGAAATACAGAGTGAGATAAAACAACTGCAACGAAGTCAAACGCCATAATTTTTACATTTTTTTTTTAAATTTTATTGAATAAAAGCAAAAAATGTCGGAAATAGCATCAAATTTTAGAATAAATTTAGATTAGTTCGAGTTGGTCACCTTTGGCACGAATTATGGCCTTCAAACGGCCAATGAAACCGTCACACTCTGCCCGAATGTTGCTCTACGATATTTTGGCCTACTCCCGGCGAAGCGCTTGCTTGAGGTGATCGACACTTTGGTATTTTTGATTGCCAACCTTGGTTTCCAAAATACTCCAGCTACAATAGTCCAACGGATTAGTATACGGAGATTTTGGTGGACATTGTGTTCTGAAAATGAAGCGAGGAACATCATTTTGAAAACATTCTTGGGTGGCGTGTGCTGGGTGCGATGTGCTGAGTCCTGTTGGAATGACCAAGGTGTGCGGCTAAAATGTTTGCGTGCCCAAGTCTTTAATACACCCTTCAAAATATTTTCGCGATAATATTTGACATTTATTCTGATGCCACGGTCGATTAATACGAGCGGAGAGCGACCATCGGCTGATATGGCGGCCCACACCATCACCATGGCCGTCGCTTGAGTTCAACAAAAGGTGCACATTTTCAGCTTACCTCTTTGGCAAGTAATCACGATAATTTTGTTTGTTTACAAACTGCTGAACAACGAATGTTTTCTCATCGGAGAAAACCAAATTCGGCCAAGCGAAGCAACTCTTTAGCTCTTTTGAGTCTATTTTCTTTCTGTTGCGGTGTAAGTTCTTGCACTTTTTGGAATTTCAATGGCTTTACCCCGGGCTCACTGGAATAATTTTAACAGTTGTCGGACGAGTGGTGTAGAAATGACAGCAGTCTGAAGTTGTTGCAGTTCTTTCATCTCATCCTGTACAAATTTGGCTTCGGTCGAACTTTACAGCTTTTTTGTTCTAACAACTCCAAAAAAGGTATTTGATGAAATCCAAATCCGTCTCGGGACAGGAGCCAATCTAGCGATGTCCGTCCGGCCTTCCGGGTGTCTGTCTGTCTAGCTGGTGCGCACGATAACTCTCGAAGGGAACCGATTTTCGCCAAGTTTGATATACTTGTTTTTACACTGAATTCGGTCGGATGTGCCAACTGATTGGATGGATATGGGTCATTTGGTGCACAATTAACTCGAAATCGGTTGAAGATATATATGAGAGCTATATTCAAATCCGAAAATTTTGCAGAGGTATTTCTGGACTATATCTGATGTACTTACCTCTAGATGTGCAAAAATTCAGTTAATTTGGACTGATATTGGCCATTTGGTGAACAATTAACCCGGAAGAAGACATTTCAATTTCAATAGGGTTCATCCTTGGGCCAAAGAAATATTGTTTGGAAAATTTCATCTCAATTGTTCACAAGAATACATGGACAGACGGACGGACAGGCGTCTATCCTAGCATAAATCGACTTAGTAAGTGATTCTATGAAGATCCTCAAAAGATATCGCTTCCTTCCCCATGTTACTAACAAATGCACAAAGACATAATACCCTTACCACTATGTGATGTAGGGTATTAATAGCCAAAACACATCTGGCGGTACAGTTATATGGGGCTATATGAAAATGTGACCCATTTTTTATACCAAAACTTGTAAAGACCTAAAATGCTTCTGAACAAAATTTTATCAATTTACTTCGTTTCGTTCGGAAGCTACAGTGATTTCCACAGACAGACGGACAACATGGCTAAACCGACATATAATCTTAAGAAGAATATATATACATTGTGGGTCTAAAATGCTTATTTCGAAGAGATATTAATGGAATGTCCATACTGTGGTGGAGGGTATAAAAAAGGTTCGATTCCATTCTGTTTACTTCCTATTAATTATTATATATGTCTTTTTTGATAATATAATTATATATTTTGCACTTAAAAATAAATATTAATTTACAAAATTTTATACATCTCTTTTCAGTAAAATCTATTGAAATTCCGGCTAACTGTAAAACGTCTCTCTAACTCAACAACGCACCCACCCACTTACTTTCACTCACAACATAATTTGAAAATAATCCAAGTTCAAGATTTGAAATTTTCAAAAATAAAAATAAAATTATACCTGCACGAGCTTTTACTTACATAATTTGCATTTACATATGTATATTTATTGAAATTCAAAAAATATATCTACACAAAAAATCAGGAAAAAAATCCAACACGTCTAAAACCATAAAGAACTTAGAGATTTCTTAATGGAAAAAATCCGCGTGTGCAATCAAAAACTGTGTAGTGTTTTCTTGACCCCTGAATACTCGAGCTAGGAAGTGTTTAAGCACATGTGCAATTCTTTTGTGCTTTCCTCATCGATGTCACAGTGAAGGGGTGAGTGGGTTCGTGCAAAAATATCGAATGGAAAGGATTTAATATTGCTCCCGTTTTACATTACAAAACTTACATCACATCATCATAATTGCTGACATCGCTGGAAAACATCATTTGTTTGTTTGATTGTTAGTCGCATCAACAGCAAAAGCATCTGCAGGCGACGAAAATATTTTTTCTTCTGTTGCGGTAAAATTCGATGAGCGTTTCGATGTCACTCGTACAAGGTGGAGCTGCTGGCGGTGCACCACAAGGTGCTATTCTAGCTGCCGCCGCACCATATTATCAGCCACCGGCTGTACCACAGGATGTGCAACCAGATCGACCAATTGGTTATGGCGCTTTCGGTGTAGTATGGTAAGTTGCAGTATATATATCTACTAAATGTTCTTTTATTGTAACCACAGCCGTAAAGCTAGAGAGGGTATGTATTATTTGATACGGCCATAACGCGCCTTATCGAAATAACGGTTATGGACCCTGTATATCTTTGGACCAAATCCGTTTCAGGACATTTGTAGTCAATCTAGCGATATCTGTCCTTCCGTCTGTCTGTCTGTCTGGCTGACTGGTGCGCACGATAACTCTGGAAGGCAGTATTATCAAACTAAGATCGAGTTCGGAGATGGGCATTATCGGCCCACTCCTTTTGGTACTTCCTCTACAAAAGGCCGAAATTTTCGAAAAAAATATTTTCTGATTAGAAAGAGAAAAGATTATCCGATTTTGCTACAACTTTGCAAATTCTAATATTTGCATGAGGTCAGGTGCAAAAGTGGATAATATTGGTCCACTCCATCAAGTACCTCCCCCACAAAGGGTCAACATTTTGAAAAATTATAACTCTTAAAAAATGTGATGGAAAAGTCCGATTCTCTTCAAATTACATACTTCAAGATATTTTTATTACCCACAAAGGATCAACATTTTGAATATCCATGAAGATTATAAAACGGGAAATTAACATCCGATTCCATGCAGACTTCCTACATCTCAATATTTCTATTAATACAAGATCTGTTATAAAGATGGTAGGGATCGAACCATTTCTTCTGGAACCTCACCCACAAAGGGTCAAAGTTTTAAATAACCAAAACAATTATCAAATCCGAAATAAGCACCCGGATCTCTTCATATTTCACACATCTCATTATTTCTATGAACACAAGATCTGCTATAAATATGGGATATATCGTTCCACACCTTCTGGTACTTCCACCAAAAAGGGTCAAAATTTTGAATATCCATGAAGCTCATAAAACGGGAAATTAACATCCGATTCCATTCGGACTTGCTACATCTCAATATTTCCATCAACACAAGATCTGTTATAAAGATGGTAGATATCGGAGCATTTTTTCTGGAACCTCCCTCACAGAGGGTCAAAGTTTTGAATAATCAAAACTTTCATAAAATCCTAAAACCGCATCTGGTTCTAATTATATTTCACATACCCCATAAGATCTGCTGTCAAGATGGAATATATAGGTCCATTGCTTCTGGTACCTCCCCCACAAAGGGTCAACATTTTGAATACTCGTTAAGCTCATAAAACGCGAAATTAACATCCGATTCTATTCAGACTTCTTACATCTCAACATTTCCATCAACACAAGATCTGTTATAAAGATAGTGGAGATCGGACCATGCCTTCTGGTACCTCCCCCACAAAGGGTCAAAGTTTTGAATAACCAAAACGATAATAAAAATTCGAAATAAGCATCCGGTTCTCTTCATAATTCACACATCCCATTATTTCTACTAACACAAGATCTGCTGGGAGTATGGGATATATCGTTCGTGTCCCAAAAGAAGTTACAAACCATATACTAGCACTGTTGCTGGGTCGTATTCGACGCCACTTTTCGCACAGATTAATCTAAGGTTTTTCCCAGTTGTCTTTTACCACTCATCAATCTCATTAATAATATTGGAGTCAAACCAAAAACAAAATTACATTCCATGTCTATATAAAAAATGAATAGCTTACTGCGACCCTTCTGGCTAATGACTATTGTCGATGGAAAGGAGTTCCTTCGAACATCTAACTTCGTTTAGACATAAAATTTTCCATTCACGTGTAGAACGGCATTTCCGGATGTAATCAAATGAAAAAGAAGTGTTTTTTTTTTTCTGGCATTCTTTCGGGCTGTCAGACAGGCGGCCAAGCCAGGCAAGAAAAAGAAATTGTGCAACCAGACTAAAAACAACAAAAATATGACGACAGGAATGAAGAAAACAAAAAATGTACGGCAAATAAGCAGGCCCAATATCGACTTCCAACAAATACCGTTCGTTCATTACACCAACGACCAAAACTGAGGGGGGAAAATACACAAAAACCCAAACAAAAAATCTACAAAAATTATAAACAGACCTGTGAAAGAAAAAAAACTAACTTCAAGACGAGTTCAACAAATATCCCAACGAAATTCTCTTCAAAAGTAGTAAAAACCAAAAAATAAGAAAAAAACGCTAAATACAAAACTTGAATGCACCACACTACTCAAAACACATAATCGCTGTGTGTGGAAGAGGCGACGTGCGCATATGCGTTCATATCCACCAAATGGGCAAGTGAGTGAGTGTGTGTGTGTGTTGCAGCAACGAGTGTTAAAGACCCTTCTTCTTCGTCTTCTGGTTTTTCGTCTTTTTGGACTGTGGCAAACAAGAAGCCAAAAGGCATTATTACCACTTTGGCTTTGCAAGAAGCAAAATGAAGGAAAAAAAAAACAGAATTGTTGTCTGCGTGCTTCATTCTTCCAATCGTCTCCGTCGTCATTGCCAGCCAGCCATCTTTATTGTTAAGGAACTTACCAGCAACTTCTGACATAAAAACACCAACTACATACACACATTCATACATATGCATGTAGATATGCCTATATAATGGCCAATCCTGCTGCCTGCCATTGCAGCAGGGAGACCAACCGCCACAACCTGAGTAATTTTATCCAGTGATTCGTGGTGTTAAGCATGCAAAATGTAAGAACCATCAAAATCGATGACTCAAAACCTTCCTCAATTTTGCAATCGCTTCTTTGTTCTTTTGGTCGGCATTCAAGTGGTGTTGGGAAGACAATGTTTTTGGAGGAGATATTCCATGGCTAGATTTGAGGCTGTTTTAAAAGTAATAATGTGTCTATTACTAGAGAAATGTTCTCTTCTCTATGAAAGTTCCCTAAAAACTGAAATTATTATAACGAACAAGTTAAAAAGGCCCGAACTTTGAATACCGGGCCGAACTTTGAATTTTGGAAATTTTCAAAAAAAAAAAAAAAAATAAATAAATAAAATAAAATAAATAAATCAATAAGCAAATAAAATAAAATAAAAAAATCCGTAAAAAATTCTGTTAAAATCTTAACAATACCGGATATAGCCGTTATATTAAGATCTATACGAAGACGTGGTCCTGCATAGGCAAATTTTGTCATAAGTCACTACAATATTCAAATACGAAACTTGAAACAAGAAATCCGGTGAATAATGTAGGTAAAATCATCAAAATACCGAATATAGGGAGGTAACGTTATATCTTGGCTATACGAAGAGCTGGACTATTAGAAACCTCAAATACGAAATTTCAAACAATTTCGGTGAATATTGTACCTAAAATCGTAAAAATACCGAATATAGGGAGGTACTGATATATGGACCCTATATGAAGATCTGGACCTGCATAGACAATTTTCTGTCATAGACTGTAGTTCTCATTACGAACTTAAAATACGAAACTTCAAACCACTCCGGTGAATAATGTCCCTAAAATCGACAAAACATCGAATATCGGGGGGTAGCGTTGTATGTGGCCTATACGATAGCGTGGACCTATATAGACAACTCTTTTACAGGCGGTAAAGTATCCACAAAGAACCCCTTGTGTAGAATTTAGGACAATTCAATTGAAAAATGTGCCTAAAATCATCAAAATACCGAATGTTGGGGGATACCGTTATATAGACGATATAGCCCATCTTCGAACTTCACCTGTCTGGACACAAAAGACTGATCTGTGCAAAATTTTATAAAATATAATGGCATAATTTCAAATTTCGTCTTGAAAGTTTTTAATGGATACTACAACCTCTGACAAAAAACATTTATTTAGGTTCACGTCTTCGTATAGGCCCTATATAACGGTACCTCCCAATATTCGATATTTTTATGGTATTAGAGACATTATATACCGAATTGTTTCAGACTTCGTTTTTAAAGTTGGTAATGGGTTCTACAGCCTTAGACAAACAATTGTGTATGAGGGTCCCCGTCTTCGTATAGCGTCCATATAACGGTTTTCATTTAAACGGAGCGGCCGGCTGAACATGATTGCTTTTTTACTTGTTACTTCTACTTTCCTTGAAATTATAGAAATTGATCAACCAAATGATAACCACGAGCACACATAGGGAACCATATCCTTTTCACGTAATTTTGCTTAACAAAATCGCAAAGTGGCTGCCCTATGTCCTCGATAGCATCTCGAACTCCATGTTTGAGGTCTTGAATAGAAGCAGCGCCGTTTGCGCAAGGAATTAAGTCTCGGTGGCCAATTGTTGTCTCCCCTTCGAGAGGATAACACGACAACCCACTACTATACTGATCCAACCGAACTTTTGGATTTAACAAACGTTGAGGATGAAGAGGCTTTCCTACAATAGCTCTTGCGTTCATCGAGGTAGAAATTGGCTTCATAAGTAAAGAAAGAGTTATTCGATGTTTTAATGATTTTAGAGATGAAAAAACTGCAATAAACTTCAGACTGTTGTCATTTCTAAGCCACTCGTCCGACAGCTGTTAAAATTATTCCAGTGACAGCTTATTATATTGTTTACAAGTGTACAAAAGCATTTTGGTGAGAATTTTCCAGAAAAAATGTTATTCGTGATGGAATTCAAGTGTGATTTCTTTATATTTGACTGGAAAACCACAAGTTGCTATCGTTAGAGCACTCCAGCATTTAAATGTGAATAAATCTTTTGTGTCTCGTACAATCGCTCGTTATCGTGATACTGGTAGCGTAGCCCGATGTCAAGGAAGTGAACGGAAGAAAACAGCAACATTAGCAGAAATGGTTCTAAAAGTAAAGAAGCGACTTGATAGAAACCCTCGTCGCAGTGGCCGAAAAATGGCTCGTGAGCTGAATATATTGCAATATTCTATTCGGCAAATATTGAAAAATGAGCTCGGGGTAAAGCCATTGAAATTCCAAAAAGTGCAAGAACTTACACCGCAACAGAAAGAAAATAGACTCAAAAGAGCTAAAGAGTTGCTTCGGTCGTTTGGCCGAAAGAGGTGAACTGTCGAATTTGGTTTTCTCCGTTTTTTCTCTAAACAAACAAAATGGTCGTACTTAC